CAGTACAGAGAAAAATAATTTCCTTTTTTTTTTTTTTTTTTTTTTTTTTTAAGGTTTTTGCCATAGGGCACGTTCACTTGCTGTAGAGAGGCGGAGGGGAAAGTGAGAAATCACCCCCTGGGGGTGTGTGGCCATGTCACAGTCCTTTCTCCTCCATTCTCCTCTTGAGATTTAGAGCACACACACACACACACACACACACACACGTGTGGCATGATTTTCAATCTGCTGGGTCTGAGACTTGCAGTTGGCCATGTGGGAGTCCAGCACCTTAGCCACCATGTTGGCCCTGAGAAATTTCCCTCTTTAAGGTGACAGATCGTATCCCCGACCGTGCTCATCCACAGGACCACAGTACGCTCCCTCTGGGAGTGGAGAGCCACTGGGGTTCTTTTGGCTGCTTGGTTTTGGTGTTCTAGACTCCTCAGCGTGGCGGCCCGCAGCACGGCCTCCGCCTAAGTCGTGGGAACAGCAGTACCTTCCACCACCGCGGGGTCTGTGTGCAGGCTGTTTGGCATGCCGAGGGCATGGCGGTTAGGAAAGGGGAAACTGAGTCTGTTTACTGAAATATTTAAAACACCAAGAAGACCTTGGTGGCCCGGCTTTGGAATTGTACAGCCTAGGGTGGAGCTTGCTGTTGAAGATGCTGACTGTGTGGACGTCCTTGATTGATCAGTACTGTATGCGTGTTTATGCGTGTTTAGAGCCACTCTGAACCGCGCGAAGATGTGCAGTGTTTGTATAAAGTCAGAATTTACAATAAAGAATACAGTAGGATGTGGACAGGTTCGTTCACAGAAGAATATCAAGGAGAGCCGGTGAGGTGTTTTTTTGTTTTTTTGGGTCTCGGAGAGGTGCCCCATACTGAGATTGTTAAAATACTTTCTCTCAGAAAGTGCTGCCTCTCCTTCTGGAATGTCTGACTGATAACGGTGGTGATGGGAGCGGGAGTATTTATAGTAACCTTTGTCTAGACAGGAAGAATGGTTATCAGCACGTGTGTCCACATCTGGATGCCGGCTCCTGCGGTCCGAGCCTTCCACCTGCACTGCTGGGCGCCCTGCGGGTCCAGCCCCTCCACTCCTGCCGCTTTGCTCTTTCGTCCTCAGAGGAGTTTGCACTATTGGTTTCTTCGTATTTCCCCCCGAACTTCTCTCCTCTACAGCTTTAAAGATAAGATAGTAGTTTTTGTTTTGTTTTTGTCTTTAAGATTTTTTTTTCTCCTGCAGAGACAAAAACTGGGAGAAACTGAGTGTTCGCGAATTCAGCTGTTTCCTCACTTTGGTTTTCCTGTTGCCACTGAGTTTTCTCTTGTGGATCTCTCACTTTGCTAAGTCTTTTCCACGTTGATGGTGTGGAAGAGAGAGAAGGAGGAAGACGTTTGTGATTCCGCGTTTGTTCGATCTGCTCTTGCTCAGTACAGCCTGTCTGTCCGTGTCTTTTCCCCGGGGATCTTTACGCTCTGCAGGGATCAAAGCTCCTGGATCAGCAGCGCTGGCCGGTAATGCGCTCTCTCTCCGTGTTCCTGCAGGAGGCTACTTTCTGCCTGGTCCTTCGCGGCGCTCGGCTGGGCCAGGCGGTGCTGAGTGACGTCTTACAGGCTGGCTGTGTCCCTGTCATCGTCGCAGACTCCTATATTTTGCCTTTCTCTGAAGTTCTCGACTGGAAGAGGTGGGTATGACCTTCTGATAAACGCTAGACTATCTAAAGCCCCCCCCCCCCCCCCACCCCGGACCTTGAGCTACTACTTTACCCTGTTTTGTTATCAAACTTTGCCCCAGGAGAGTTAATACATTGGCCTGGAGCAGTTCAGAGACTGAGTCTGTGGGCCAAATTGGATGGCTTTTTTTTTTTTTAAGAGAGAAGTTTTTTGCTATAGGGCACATGTGCTCCCCGGAGAGACAAAGCAAGAAATCATCCCCCAGGGAAGATGGCCACACCGCAATCCCTTTTCTTCCAGTCTCCTTTTGGGATTTTAGGCATGCAATCACACATACCCAGTGTGAATTTTAAGCTGCTGAGACTCAAATCGTGGTCACTACGTGGGAGTCCAATGATGTAACCATTACGCTGTCTGTCGGTCCTGATGGCTTTTTTTTTCTTTGTTTGGGGAGGTATTTGCCATGGGGTGTGTGCACTTGCCAGAGAGACAGAGAGGGAAAGTGAGAAATCATCCCCTGGGGATATGGCCACACCACAGTCCCTTCTCCTTCCTTCTCCTCTCAGGAATTTGAGCACACATGCATACACACCTGGTGTGATTTTCAAGCTTCTGGGTCTGGGACTAGAACCGCAGTCAGTCATATAGGTATCTCAACCATCCCACCACTACTGGCCCTGATGGCTGTTTTATAAAGTTTCCTTGAGGCTCAGTCGTGCCCCTTCATTTGTGTATTGCCTGACTGTCATTCAGCTGGCAGAGTTGGATAGCTGAGACTGAAATATCACTGTCTGGCCTGACACACAAAACGCTTACTGCCCCGAGGGCAGAGTGGTGGTTTCCAGCAAGGAACGCAGAGTACACCTACCTGGAGAGCTTTGAAGCATGCCCAACCTTATCTCTGGGATTCTGGGTTGTAAAGCTCCCAGGTAATTCTAGTTGGTCACCATGTGGAGAACCCTGGGCTAGCGTCTCTGTGAGATGTGCGTAGTGTACGAGCTGGCACTGGAGAGCCTCCATAGGACGTGGGTGGAGCTCCGAAATGCTCCGGGGTACAGATGGATAAAATGCATTCCACCTGGTGTGGCTGTTAACACTGCAGTGAGCGGAATAGCACCCCCCCTCCCCCCCCTCCCGTTATCCAAGGCTTTAGAGGCTGAAGCTGATTGAAAACGAATTCCTTTATCTTTTTTTTTTTTTTTTTTTTGGGGAGATTTTTTTTTTTTTTTTTTTTTGCTATAGGGCACGTGCGCTCACCAGA